CTTTGGTAACGTATCTGTGAACGGGAAACCATCTTTTTATATATGAAAATTTCATTTTCCTCGTGTGTTTGAATGAGAGAGAAGCTGCCCAGGGCCAGCCCTGTGGCCGAGCGGTTATATTCGCATGCTCCACTTTGGTGGCCCAGGGTTTGGCCGGTTTGGATCCTGGGTGAGGACATGGCACCAATCACCAGGCCATGTTGAGGTGGTGTCCCACATGCCACAGCTAGAAGGACCCACAACTAAAATATACAACTATATACTGGGGGGATTGGGGGAGGAAAAGCAAAAAAAAAAAAGAGAGAGAGAGAGCAGCTGCCTGTAGAATTTCGTATTTCAAAATTATTCCCTCATCAAAATGGAGGCTTAAGATCTGTGCATTTTACTGCATGTAAATTATCCCTCAATAAAATAAAAAATCCCTCTGATTTTTGACGATATTATTCCATTTTCTTTCAGCATCCAGTGTTGTTGAGGAAAAGTCTGCTGTTAATGTGATTCACACTCTTTTGTGTGAGATCTATTTTTTTCTGCTTGGGTCTGCTCTTTATCCCCAGTGCTCTGAAATTTCATCAGTACATGTCAAGATGAAGGTCTTTTTTCATGTATTCTGCATGGTAACTGATGGGCTTTTTCAATCTGGAGAGTCAGGTCTGTCTTCCACATAAAATTTTCTCTATTCTTTCTTTGAGTATTCTCTTTCTTCCATTTTCTCTATTTTCTCCTGGAATTTTGATATTTGGACTCCTGTATCTATTCTCACCTCTTTCAAACATTTCATCTCTTTGTAATTTTACAGTGCATTCTGTTTGATTCCAGATCTTGAATTCATTTCTCAGCTTAATCTTTCTGCTACTCAGACCACCTAATGAGTTTTTATTTTAATGATTAAGTTTTTAATTTCCAAGGTATCTAGATTTTTTGATGCAATATCCTTTTGCATCTAAGTATATTTATTCTAAAGCCATGTCTGTCTGCTCTATTAACTCCATTTTTTTCAGGTATGAACTCCTCCTTCTGTTGAGTTGGGTACATTTTCCTCCAGGATATTAGCTTTCCTCAAATACCTGGCCTTTCTTGGGTATGAGCTTCCCTTGAAACTGAGATTCCTTGTTAGCTTGAGGGGCTTGCTTGCAAGGAGTAGGATATACAGCTTGGGTTGCACTGCACCTGGCTAAAGTGATAGTGAGAAATGGATGGGACGTGCTACTGGGCAGGACGGCTCAGCAGTTAGCCTTCTAGATATAGAGGCTTCTATTCCCCTAGGGAGCTGTCAGTGTCTGGGGCTTTACCTTGCCCCTCTGACCCAGACATCCACCCCCGCTGCTCCTGTCCATGGGCAGACATCTCTGTGTCTCACTCCCAGCCCGAGATGAACATTCTTGCCTGTCCATTCTGTGATGCCCTAACCATTCATGGCCAGTCAAGCATGGGCCACCTCCTGCTCCCAGGTCACCAGTTCTGGGTTTGCAGTACCCCTGGAGCTGCTACCACGGCTTGCAGGAGCCCTCTCCTCTGTGGAACTTTGGGCCGTGGTTTCCATCTTCAGTCTGATCTTATCTGTTTTTCATCTTTAATTATGGTTATTGTTTCACTTGGTGTTCCCTATATTGTTTTCAAGTTAGGATATGAATTTACATAGATCTTCTATGAACAATTTGTAAAGACTAGGAGTAAAAAGAAACAACTGCACGTGCTCCGTTTGCTATCTTGAACTGGAAGTTGAAAAGCTCTTTGTATAGACTATTTTAACACTTATTGTTTTGTAGTATAACTATTTATTCCCTGGTGTGGATATGGGACACAGATAAGGCTGTGCTCATACGAGAATATCTTCTAGTGCCTGGTGCTTCATATTTTTTGAAATTAATTTGATGAATGAACGAAGAAATGGCTGAGTGAGTGTGGTTACAATGAAGATTTCAATTCTTGTCCCATCATTTATAAGATCATTCCTCCTCTCTGGGCCTCAGTTTTCCTATCTATAAAGTTAGAGGAGAGGCTAGAGATCAATCCTTTCATTTTAATCTGAAGGAATTCCTTTAGTATTTCTTGTAGGCCAGGTCTGCTAGCAATGACCTGTTTCCATTTACGTGGGAATGTATCAATTTCTTCTTCAGTTTTGAAGGATACTTTTGCTAGATAAAGAATTCTTGGTTGACAGTCTTTTATCTTTCGGCACTTTCAATATATCATCCCACTACTCTCTGGCCTCTATAATTTCTGATGAGAAGCCAGCTGTTACTAAGGATCCTTTATATGTAATGATTTTTTGCTTGTTGCCATTGAGATTCTTAGTATTTGGTTTTTGACAGTTTAGCTGTGACATGTCTCAGTGTGGATTTCTTTGAGTTTATCCTTCTCAGAGTTTGTGGATCTTCTTGGATGTGTAGATTAATATTTTTCCTCAGATTTAGAAACTCTTTGGACTTTACTTCCATAAATGTTTTTTTCTTCCCCTTTCTCTCTCTCTCTTCTCCTTCTGGTATTCCCAGTATGTGTCTGTTGGAGCAATTGATGATGTCCCACAAGTCTCTAAGGCTTTGTTCATTTTTGCCCCCTATTCCTCAGACTAGATAATCTCAACTAGTTTATTTTCAAGTTCACTGATCCTTTCTCCTACAGCTCAAATCTGCTGTTGAGCCCCTCTAGTAAATTTTTCATTTCAAGTGTTGTGCTTTTCAACTCCAGAATTTCTATTTGGTAATTTTTATAATTTCTCTCTCTCTTTTGATATTCTCTATTTGGTGAAACATCATGACATGCTTTCCTTTAACTATTTAGACACAGTTCCCTTTAGTACTTTGAGCATATTTATACCAGCTGATTTAGAGTCTTTGTCTAGTAAGTCCAACATCTGGCCTCGCTCAGGGACACTTTCTAGTGACTGTTTTTTCCTGCGCATGGGTCATACTTTCCTGTTTCTTTGCAGGTCTCATAATTTTTTTGAAAATTGTATTTTTTAGATAATATAATGTGGCAACTCTGAATATCAGGCACACATGCCCCCAAGGTTTATTGTTACTGCTGTTTGTTTAGTGACTTTCCTAGACTAATTCTGTAAAGTCTACATTCCATGTAGTGTGCAACCACTGATGTCTCTGTTCAGTTAGCTCAATGATCAGCTAACAATTGGACAGAGATTTCCTTAAATGCCTTGAGCTAGAAAATCTTCCACCCTTTGCCAAGGAGCTCCCTGTGGGTTGAGGCATGACTTGAACGCTCAGGCAGCTTACAGCTCTGTCTCAGCCTTCAATTCCACTTGCACAGGCCTCAAGGTCAGTCAGAAGTGAGAACTGGGGCCCTCCCAGGTCTTTCTTGACCATGCACACAGTCTTTTAGATCCCCAGGAATATGCCAGAGCTTTCCAAAGTCCTCTGTGAACATCTCATTTCTCAAATCTTCCTTTCAAATTTCTGGCCAGGGGTTTGTTTGCCTCAACTGATATCAGTCTTAAACAGCTGCAATGTTAAACAATTGAAGCTGATTAAGGTTGATAAATGCCCCGGGATTTTCCCATGGACAGAGTCCTGAGTAGGATGAATAATGCCTTGGGGTCAGGGGTTTTCCCATGAAGAGAGCTCCAAGTCGGGTTAAATAATGACAACACTCTGTAAATAAAGCTTTTCCACAAACTACAGCACAAGTCAAATAGTGACAATGCTCTGGTGATAGAGCTTTCTAAGGAGCTCCCAACCCAATCCATCCCCTCCAGTGGCTGCAAGCCTGCTGGTTTTCAAGGCTACTGTGCAGCTGGGGTTAGAGGGCTGGGAGTAGGCCAAATTACAACATGGAAAATCCCCAAAGTTGAGTAGTTTCTCTCGCATAAACCCTCTTCAGATTGTTGCTGGCCTTTGGTTAATTTCCAGAGTTCTGCGAAAGCTGATTTTTATAATGTTGCCAATATTTTTGTTGTTTTGATGGAGGAATGGATGTACAGAAGTCCTTATCCACATTCCAGAAGTCCCACCTCTGGTTAGAGATCATTTCTAAGATCAGGCTTGCCCGAGTGTTAACTAAGACGGAGGTAATCACTGGAAATAGGATTAAAGTACTGCCTTCACCCTGGAGGGATCGTTTAAAGAAAAAAAAAAAAGGCACAAAGGATGAAAAACCTTGTTTTAGGATCCATAGGAATTATTCCAAAATATTGGGGTGATGTGGGGGCCCTTTGTAAAAGCCAGTGGGCTGCCAGGACTCGCCCCGGGCCCGTCACCTAGCCCAGTGTACTCTTGGCTGCTTCCCCTGAGAGATGCCTTTTCCAGGGGAAGGGAGCTGCCATATTTTGAGTACTTCCTCTACCTACATGTTTCATACGCATTATCCTTACAGCTTACCAGCCAAGAGTATTACATTATTTCCACTTTACAGATGAAGAAACTGAGCTCACAGAAGTCAAGTCACATGCCCAAGGTTAGAACACTCATGGGTGGTGGAGAAGAGATCCCACTTGAGTGAGAGCTACTCCAGTGTCATCAAACTTAATGTCCGGACCCTCTGGCTGGCTATGGTGAGGGCAGGAAGACAGTTTGTGGAGGTGTCCATCATTACAAATTTGAGAACAATAGGCTGGAACTGCCCCCTTTTAGCCCTCTCCCTCTGGAGCTGCCTCCCCACGAGTCAAGGACCAGGGAACAACAGCAAAGGAATAGGTATGGCTTGCCCCTGCTGCAAACACCTGCTGAGGTGGGCTCCTGGGTCAACTCCTCTCTTCAATCAGGAGCCAGAGCCTCTAGGCAGTCCCCCCAAATCAAGGGTGGCAAGGGCAAAGCCTGGCTGTGACTTAAGGGCTGGGAGTGCAGGACTATCTCCTTCACGTGCTCAGCAGAATTCAGTCCACGGGCCTGAGCGCCCAGAGCCCACTCAGTCCACTGCGAGCCCAGGGTGTGTCTGTGGAGGACAAGAGAGCATGCCCCGAAATGCCCCGGCATCCTGACCAGCCCACGGCTCCACCCACTCCCACTGAAGGCAACAAAGGGGACACGGTCATTACAAAAACATTCATAAAAAACAAACTTTATTTCTACATCTCAGAAATTGGCAAGGAAATAAGCACAGTGAAAACAGCGCACTGCAACATGTTGAATCATCTTCAGATGCATGATCTCATTGGGACCTCACAGTCACCCTGCAACGTAGGCAGGGTGGGTGACTACTGACCCACTTTATGGAGGGCTTGTCAGAGGTGACCCAGATTCTACATGGGACCATAAACATTCTACCCAGATGCTCCCCTGCATCTGGGCCAGGCTCTTCATTCCCCAGGGTGGGTGGGGCTTCCCCAGACACACACAGATACCTTCACTTCCTCTGCGATACAGTCAGGGATCAGGCTGCCGGCTCTCTGAATAAAGGACCTTCTCACTGACACGTGTGGGTTCTTGAGAATCCCGGGACTTACATGTGCCAGGGATTGCTAAATCTATGACATCCGTACCAGGCAGCCAGCCAAGGGCTCTGGGCACAAATGAACGCGAAGCTAAGCTGACGGATCAGAAGTCCGCTGGCCCATGGCGGAGCCAGTTCCACAGCCAGGCACCCCATCAGGGAGACAGTCCCCGTGTGGACAGAAAGAGGGGCTCCACCTTGCTCCACTGGCCCCCGTCTGTTGTCGGAGGGGAAGAGCCATGGCTCCCCGGCCTCCCGCTCTGCACGCCTGTTGCTGACCAGCCTTTCTGACTCTTCTCCATGAAGAGGTGGGCCGCCTCGTCCCTCCGCAGGGGCCGGGCTCAGAGGTAGGCGTCATCTGCCTCGGGCTCCAGGAGGTCTTCTTCAGTTCTCAGAGCAGGAGCCCCACACCAGGGGGGCCACTGCCTCCATCTCCCAGCGACACACTGGGCACTTGGCCGTGTCGCTGAAGACCCGCCAGGCACAGTCGCTGCAGAAGTGTGTGTGGCCGCAGGGGATGAGGCAGGTGTTGGCCGCATGCTGGAAGCAGATGGTGCACTCCTCTCCTGCCGCGGCTGGGAAAGGGGACAACATAGGTTGGGGGTACTTGGGGGCAAGGGGGGCAGCCTACTCACGATAGAACCACAGGACAGACACCTACGCAGTCATATTTTGAAAACTTTCATCTCGTGAGAAAATGCTCACAATGTAATCAACCGAAAAAAATTAGGAAGAAAACCATAATGTACATACATATATATTATAAAATCTCGATTTAGGAAAAAGGAAACCAAACAGAAACAATTCCCCACATATATATATACGACCACAAAGCACTGGGAGGGAGTCCACCCAAGAGGTAACGGGTGGCTTTTTTTACTTCCTTCTTTATCCTTTAATATTTATTTCTGTTTGACAAAGTTTTTACTATGAACATGGATTGCTTTTTTAAAGCGGGGACAAAATAACATTATCTATTCATGAATGTGCTCTTGTAACTTGTAAAGTCAGCCAGTGTTCTAGAAAGCAGAGCTGTTAAATTGCTTTTAGGTTTGCAGGAGGCAGAGCAAATCTTTTGGTCTAAAGTCTGTGGGAGACTTGACCGACTTGGAAAGACCTGACTGAGCTGCTAGGCGGGGCCCCGGCCTCGCCCAGCTCCCCTGGTGCTGCAGCCCCGGGAGTGCCTGGTGCCAGAAAGCCACTTACCTTCAGGCTCAGACAGAGTCTCCTCCCTGGGGACCCACGGCGTGGCAGGCGGGAGGGCGCTGGCTGTGGGATCTGAGGCAGAGAGGGACACTAAGAGCCCAAGGAAAGCAAGCAGGCACCTGTCCCTCTTCTTTCTTTCCTGGGTGGCTGTGCTGGAGCTCCCAGCGGATCTTACAGTGCTGTCCTGGCCGTCCCCTCCCCAGGTTAACCCCCCAGCGAGATTCTTTCCCTAGACCACCCTTCCTTTAGACATCTCCTCTTCGCCCCACTCTGCAGCCTGATCGGAGACCCAGGTTCCCAACCCCGGATGTGCATAAACCCCCTCCCCCCATTCCCGGCAGGAAAACAGTGGCTTGGGCCCCACTTCAGAACACCAAATCAGGTGTTCCAGGGGTGAGGCTCCAGCACCTGTGACAAGCGACTTTAGAAACATACGCGGGGGCGTGGGGGTGGACTGCTTGTGCGGGCCCATGGACCACTAGCGCGGGAATGCCAATATTTCTTCTGATGGGTGTTCCTGTATCTATCCACTCGCTCGCTGGAAATCTGCTCTCCTTCCAGGTGGCTAGATGGATGGTTCCTCTTCCCCCACCCACTGCCTGACTGTCTCACCCTCCCCCACAGGCAGTCTTCCCGTTCACCTCTAACCCTCATACTTATGATCCCTCTGCTTGTCACCCTTGATTTCAGTGAACTCCTACTTAGACCGCAAAGCCCAGCTCAAAATTTCTCCCTCTGTGAAATGTGATCAGCCCTTAATAGATGTTTGGGGTGCTAGTCCTATCTTTTTATCATTCGTTAGGGACACAGATGCCCTCTCTTTGAGTCTTGTCCATCTGGAGTCCCCAGCGCCCAGTCTCATAAATGACAGTGGGCAAAAGCTGATGGAAAACCTGACTGAATATAAGCGAACGAATGGTTCTCCCGGTGGCTCAGGATAGGGGCGGAGCACCCCCTCCCCCCGGGGCGGGTCCGGTACTGGCGGGTGGCCTCACCCAGCAGCTGGATGGTCTTGGTGGTCCCGTACACGTCCATCACGGCCCAGAGCGGGGCGCCCAGGAGCACGCCGGTGCGCAGCAGGAACCAGGGGCCCGCGTTGACGGCCGCGAAGAGCCGGCCGTGGCGGCTCACCCAGAAGCGGACCACGTCCCCCGCGAGCGCGCAGCCCTCGGGCAGCACGGCGGCCCACGTGGAGCTCTGCTCCTCCAGGTCCGGGCACACGAAGGGCGGCAGGCTGGCCGCGGGCACGCGCGCGGGGTCCAGGCGCGTGAAGCCCACGCGGAGGCCGCCGTGCCAGCGGTCCTCGTGCTCCAGCACGCGCAGCACCACGCGCTCGCCGGGCCGCACGGGCCGCTGGCTGAACACGATGCCGTCGCAGAAGGTGGCGCACCGGCGCGCGACGCTCCCCTCGGCGTCCAGGCGCACCTGCGCGCCCTTGGCCTTGGCGTGGAAGCGCAGGGCCTTGCAGGGTGCCGCGGCATCTGTGGGGGCGGTGGGGGGCGGTGTCAGGGTGGGGCTGGGCGGTGGCCGACCGACTGCAGCCCCTCCCCACCGCCACTGCCCACGCCCACCCCGCTGGTGGCCCCATGCCCCTCCCCCCACCCTCCTTCCCAGTCCCCTCGCCTCAGAACCAGGTGAGGAGCCGGCTTTGCCTGTCCTGGATCTGAGTTCCCGCCACGAGCCTCCCCAAGCCTCAGTTCCCTTCCCCTGGGGATCCGATAAAAATGAAAGGAACTGGTGCCTGCGCTGGCTCTCAATACCCGGTAACAGTTACTATTGTCGTTAAACAGAGCAGATTTTGGAACAGTAGATGTAATATGATCCTGGTTTTGTTGGACACCGTATGTTTATGTTTCCTGTATACATATGTGTCCTTTCGGTATCTAGAAACAAGCTGAAGGGAGATGATGGGCTGGCATGCTCCTGGTGGGCAGCTCTGGCAGATGGTCCCGGTGTTGGTGCTGTGTTTTCCTGTCTGCTTGTCTGACTTTGTTATTTCCCACAGAGAACCTGTCACTTGTGAAGACCATGGCCCCAGTGAGGGTGACTTCCTTGTCCTGGGACAGAAAGGAGCCTGGCAGCTCCCCACAGGGTGGGGGGCCCAGGCTGGAGGTGGGGGGTCCAAGGTCAGCCCTGATGTGGATCAAGGCTACCCCAGGTAGAGAAGCCCAAGGTGACCTGGCCAGATGCCGATCTATGTGACCCAATGGATTTTATGGTGTGGATTAGGGCTGCCCCAGAGAGAGAAGCCCAGGGCATCCTGGCCTAAATGCCGATCTATATGACCCAATACATATCTAAAGTTATATGACCACACAATAACCAGACCCCATCTTCACTGATACCATTTAATGACTTTTTACATCATCTTTCCTTTGTCTAGTAAAAATAAGTCACATACCCATGCCTTATAAATTTACCCCTAACCCTCAACACATTGCAGCCCCTCACTGCCCATGGGTCCTGTCCCCATGCCTGCAGCTCTTACTGCCCAGGGGTCCCGTCCCCATGCTACTCCATGCTATTCTCTGAATAAAGGAGCACTACTGCCAGACCTTGAAAGTCCAAGAAATCTTTCTTTCGACTCCTTGACTCATGGAGCCCACATCAAGCCCTCCAGAAGGGTGAGCTGGGTCCAGCCAAGGTCTGGGCTAGGCTTTAAAATCAGGGGACTTCCTGACTCACTCCACTTGGCAGCCCAGCCGGGCAGGAAAAGTTCCCTCCTGGGCAGCACTTCCTCTCCTGGCCTGGAGGAAGCTGGCCTGGAGGAAGCTGGCGAGCTTCCTGCCCCAGAATTGTTCTTACAACTCGCTGGGCCTTATCTCTCCCCTTCCACCCCTCCTCCCCTCCTCACGCTGCGCTTTCTGGGTGGGAGGAGGGAGGCCGAACGTAAAAAGAGGTGAATTCAATGAGAACTTGAGCCAGACCCCAGCCTAGAGGAGCAAGGCCCTCCCCTCCCAGATCTACCCAGTTCCCTGGCCCCCTCTCCTCGGATCACTCACATGCCTGCAACATTCCAGCAGTGCACAAGAAGGGGAGGCCCAGTCTGGTCAGGCACAAGGACACCCTTGAGGTCACATTGAACTGGTCCCTGACCTCCACAGGCCAAAGGCCAGCCTCCCATGGTTCTCTCACCCCCGCATTAGGGACAAGTGCTCACCCTGGCTTTTGGGACCTCTAGACCCACCCTCACAGAGCCCTGCTGTCCACGCTCACCCCTCCCTCACCTGAGCCCTTGCCCATGCCACTGCCCCTTCCTGGGATGCCCTCATGCGTCGCTCCCTTCCTGATGGGTCTGCCCACCACCACTGGTTCCCCAAGGCTAGGTGCAGAAGCAAGGGGGTGTCCCAGAGCAGGTACAGACAGTGACCCGGAGCAGAGTTGAGAGCCCAGACATCAGAAGGACCTGTCCTTGCACCCACTGCTGAGTTGCTGGGGCATCCAGAAGGCTCTGTGAAGGGCAGCCATGTCAGACACCGGATTCTAGTCGGGGCTCTGCTGCTGACCTGGGCAGGTCACTGCCCCTCTGGGTCTTGGTCTCCTTATCTACCATGGGAGTGATATGCCTGGCCAGCCAAGGCCTGGAGTCTCCATGTACTTGCCTGGGGATCCTGAATGTGAGGAGTTAAGTGCCCACCTGGGCAGGATCAGGCTGGGGGTTGGGGAGGTAGGGGTTCCTGGTATAACCAGCCATAACCCACCCTGGGGGGTGGAGGCACCCCCCTCATTTGGCTGGGTCACTCTCCATCCCTGAGGTGGGGCCTGGAGAGAAGGCCTGGAGGGGGCTTGGTATGGGTGGGGGGCAGCATGCAAACCCTCTGCACACCCCAGCACGTCCAGTCCTGCCACCACCCTGCAAGGCAGAGATGATGTCTCCTGATGGTGGGCAAGCAGCTGGCTCTGGGCCCACTGCAAGCAGAGCCAGGGCTGGGGTTCAGACAAGGGTTGCCCCAGCCTCCAGGGAAAGGCGGCCGCCCTTGGGTTGGGGGAATGGAACGTCCATCATGCTCCGCTCCTTGGGCCTAGGCAATAACCAGCAGAGATGAGCTGTCGTGGCTGAGAGCTGGCTCCCCTCCCTCAGGACCCGGTCCATGAATGGAGTTTCCAGCCCATCCCCTGCGCAGCTGCCCTGGACAGAGGCTGACTCAGGCAGGCCTGGCTCTGGGGGCAGCAGAGGGGTCCGGAGGAGGAGAAGAGCAGGGAACTGGCTGTCTGGAAGACAGTGAGGGAGGAGGAAGAACACCCTGGAATGACCATGGTGGGTGCCGGAGTCCCTGCTGGGCAGGGGGGCCCTGGGGACCCAAGGAGAAGCAGGCCTCATCCTGGACAGGCATTTGACAGTCTGCAAAGCTCGCCTCATCCCTGTCTCAGGAGCTTCCCAGTGGCACATGGGAGCTTGTCCTTATGTCACCACGGTTAAAAGAGAGGGGCTGAGAGGACACAATTGGCTGACAGGCCAGGAGACGGCCAGTGGACTTGAGCACCCTTCTCCCAGCCGCACCCCCAGGCTCCACTCTCTACCGCAGCTGCCCCTCAGCAAGCCCCTGAGAGTGGTCCTTGAAAGGTGCCCCACCGCCAGGAGGGGAACAAAGGGCTCCTTGGGCATCAGGCTCTGCACACGCACCCTCCTGTATGATCGTGCTGGTTGTTCACTGCAGAAAGCCGAGGCTGAGCAGGGCTGAAACCCCGTCTCGTCCGGCCAGCTGGGCAGAAAGCCTGCAGGACTGGGTGCGTCCGCCCACAGGGGCCCCGTCCTCTACTCTGCACAGGGCCCTGCCGCCTGAGTCTGGAGCGGGCTCACAGTGGTGTGAAAGGTGTTGGCGCCCACCTCCACCTGACCCATCCCTGCCCCAGGGCCTTCAGGGCTCCTCCATCCTTTGACCCAGGCTACCGGGTACACCCCACCCCAGGGTGGGGAATGGGAGAGGTGGGCACAGGCCCAGTGTGACTCTCTGAGTGGGCCTGTCCCCAGCCGGCTGGGCTGGGCTTCAGAGCACCCTCAGCCCATAGGTGGCCATTCTTATTGTCAGCTGCATTTTCAGGCAGAATCCTCAGGCCCCATAAGCAGAGTGACTTGCCCGTGGAAAACCTTCCCCAATTTCTCTGCCTGCCTCCCTTGCTCCCCACTGCTGCAGGGGACCAGATCAAGTGCTGGGCTTGATAAGACGGACTCGCCACTGCTGGCTGCCAAGGAGCTCAGGAAACACATGGCCTTTCGGATGCTCCCGCCTTCACCCCAACACCCACAGGTGGATTCAAATCAGAGTCTCTGCAGCAAGGCTCTTGGAGTCTAAGTGACGGAGGGTCAGCCCCCTGCTCAGCGAGGACCTCCCACATCGTCATCGTCACCATCTTCATCACTACCCTCCAGCCATCAAGCCTTTCTGGGTACCAGGCACCTACTGGGCACTTTACATCCTCTTTTCCCGTCCCCACAATCCCATGGGGAAGCACTCCCAGGGAACTGAGCTTGGGGAGGTTGTGCAAGTTGCTGCCATCTCGCAGCCAGAAGTGGGGGAGCCTGGGCCCACCTCCTCATCCCTGCACTGCTGCACTGCCTCCTTCATGGCACCCTTGCCCGGAATCCAAACACAGTTGCTGGAGCAGCAGCAGCAGCAGTGGCTTGGTCCCCCTCCCCGCCCCCAGGCTCTGGGTGCCACCTGCTGCTAATGTGTGAGCCTTCAGTGCTGCTAGGGGGCCAAGGGCCAAGGCTCCAGGCTCTTTGCCTGGGAGGGAGCAGGGTCCAGAGATGCACAGAGATCTGGTGGTGGAAGCCCAGGTTCTCCATCTCCCGCCCTGCACACTGAGGGAATACTGTGGCCTCGGGTGAGGCTCGCAGAGAACCATCGTGCCTGATGACCTTTTGGTTTGTGCTTCTGGCAGCTCTGTAAGCCAGCAAGGTCGGTTGCATTGGCCCCGGCCTACAGATAAGGAAACTGAGGCCCAAGGGGAAAGTGACTTGCCCAAGATCCACCGCTCGACCTGGCAGAGCTGGGACCCCCGTCTTCCAGCAGGCCCCCTAAATTCTATCCTCTTTCCCACCCCAGCCAGTCTCCTCTCTGCACAACAGGACCGAAGGCAGATGGGTCCTGTGGGTCATCCATCACTGTAGGGATGCTGCACCTGAGTCACCGGCCTCTGCTGGATTCCTGCAGGGACGGGAGGCTTGCTGCCATGGCTCACTACCTGGGGCAGCCTAGCCTGTACCAGAAGCTCTTTCTGAGCAATGCCTACACTGACCATACCTCTGCCTCCTGGAACTTCTACCCCAGCAATGACACAGAGCCCCCCTCTGCTTCTTGCATCCCCAGGGACCAAGCTCAGGGCTCCCTCTTACCGGTCTTGGAGGAGAGCTGGGCCCCCATCAGCCTTGGGTCCTCGGGCACAGGTCTGGAAGGAAGTGTCCACAGAACTCCCCTGGATAGGTTTGCAAAGACTCAGCAGGTCCCCTTGGTATGGGCCAGGTTGCGTCACAGGATTGATGATTAATTAGACGTTGCTGTCACGAGTTATAACATCCAGGGAATTTCCTGATGATTTCTCCTGGCTCGTAGGGGAAGCCTCTCCCGCTGCAGCTAGCTGGCGGAAGAGATGGCCTGGGGAGGATTTCAGGTAGACCTCTCTGACCTCTGACCACCAGCTCTCAACCCGGCTGTGCATTATAATGGCCCAAGGCGTGTTAATGAGGACCTATGCCTGGACCTGCCCCCAGAGACTCTGACGCCAGTGGCCTGCGGTAGGGCCCACATAAATAGTTTTTAAAAGCACTCCAGATGATTCTAATGTGCAGCCAGGGTGGGCAACAGACCCCCGCTTACAGAAGGCACTTAATCAACATTGCCAAAGTGGATTGAGTTGAATTAGCTGCATCCCAGGACCTGTGGAGCTGCCCCAGCTCTGGGTGTCCAGCAGAGACGCTGGCCAGCGGGCCGGTGAGGCAGACAGCACGGGAGTGGTGTGGATTGCTACCCCAGCCCTGCTGGAGCTGGAATTCCACTTTCCAGAATCCACTACAAAATGCAAAAGTCCCACGGCAGGTCACGCCAAAGGCCTGGCTCCCAAAGGCCTGGCTCCCGGTGTTGGCTCTGGCGGAGAAGTCAGAGTTCTGCCCCCTCCATTTCCTGGGGAAGCTGGGCTGGTGGAGGGAACGTGCCTCGCTCTAACCTAGTGCTTCTCACATTGCAACAGGCACATGAATGTCCTGGGGACCCTATTAAAATGCAGCGTGATTCCCAAAGTCTGGGATTCTGCTTTTCTCTCAAGGCACTTTTCTAACAAAGTGGATCCCACTGTAGGTGGCAAGGCCCGAAGTTTGTTTGGAGGCTGGAGAGTACCCTGGCACTCCACATCTGGGCTAAGCCCTTCCCAAGACCACGGGTCAAGGCCGTGATCAGTGACTAATCTGAACTCGGCTGAAGGGATGGATATCCCCCACGCATGCCCCTGGAGGAGCTGGCAGAGTGGTGCTATTGACTGGACTGAGGAGGTTGCGGGGGAGTGGGGGGGCAAGGGAGGATGGAGGTTTGGAGCCTCAGGTTCTGGCTCCCATGTTACCTTGCCCTCCCGGGGCCCTGGTGTCCCCATGCGTAAAACAGGAAGCCAGGATGAGCTGGTCTGCCGGTCCCTTCCAGCCCCAACATGCAGTGACTGGTCTTGACGATGGAGAAGCAACAGCAGCCTGGCCCCAGTTGACGTCAGATGTTGCTGAAACCCTGAATTTTCTCTCTCACACCACGCCTTCTGCCAGGCGCCCTCAGTTTCTCTCTAGAAGCCGTCTTCCAAAGGCCAAAGGCAAACTGGTGAGAAGTCAACAGCAATCTCAGCGAGTCCAAGGTTGATAGTTCCAGCTGGTCCAGCCTGAGGCGAGGGGCCCCACGGTTTACCGTCCTGCTGGCCCAGCCTGAGGGATCCAGGCTCAGGGCATCCCCTTGTCTCTGGAAGGTGCTGGGGCCCAGAGGTCCGTCCTTCTCCCGCCTCCCCTGCCCTGGCTCCACCTGTACTGCTGGCTGCTTTGGGCGGTGCCTAGAGGGCTGGAGCCAAGAGCACCTTGTTGATAAACCACATTCCTATAAAAGAGGTAACTGCAGAATCTTATCAGGGAAATCGGGGCATGAGCCTCAGCCTGTGTGGAAAATTACTGGACAAGCTGCAGACATCAGGCTGCCCGCGACCAGCAGGCTGGGGTGGAGGGTCCCATCTTCAGGACCTCAGCGAGGTGGGCTTCTGAAGACCTGAAATCCTGCCTCCAGCCTGATGTCTAGGAGTCCGGGCTGCCCAGGCGAGACCCCATCACACACTTCCACCTTTATTTATTTAACATCCACTACTGGTCTAAGTCCATGACTGTATTCACTTGCTAATCCTCATAGCAACTTCTCAAAAAGATTCTATTGATTGTACACTAGCCCTCCCTTATCCACAGGGCATATGTTCCAAGACCCCCAGTGCATGCCTGAAACCACAGACAGTACCAAACCCTGTATAGACTATGTTTTTTCCTATACATACATACCTACGATAACATTTAATTTATAAATTAGGCACAGAAAGAGATTAACAACAACAGAAATAAAATGGAACAATTATAACAATATACTGTAATAAAATTTACCATAGCTCTTAGCAACTTCAGCATTCGATTCTTTTTCCTTCCTCATTAAATTGAGAACTGTCACCTTTTCACTTAACTGTGCTGACACGAGCAGGAGCTTTATGGATAGCTGCTGACTGGTTGTCTGAGTGTGAGGTGGAGGCCACCCCACGATGGAGACTGCACCCTTCCCTCCCCACCGGGTCACCAGGACAGTAAGGCTGTTGTAAACGTGCCTTCCGAGAAGAGAGGGACGGGCCCTTTGCCACGGCAGCCTCTGGACAGAGATTGAGGCGGCCCCTGCTGGCTGTAGTCAGTACTGCAGGATGCCCTGAGTCCCTGGGATCCCTCAAAGCTAGGAGAGGTGCCCCCAGCGGAGGGGGCGCTCAAAGGGACTGAGACTTCTGAGGCCTCTGCACCTCCTCCCCCCACCCGCAGCTCCCTACAGTCTCTCCCTCCCTCCTCTCCCTGGCAGTCAACAGCTTTCCCCGGGCCCCCTCACTACAAGGGGTTTTCATGCACGGTGTCTCCTAAGGTGCCTCAAGTGCTCTGAGAAGCCGCTGGTCAGCTATTTCAGTCCCTACCAGACAGCTGAGGAAGTTGGGGGCTTGCCCAGGGTTCATGCCAGCCTGCAGCCAAGTAGAAGTGGGAAGCCAGTGGGAACCCAGCCCACTCTGGGGCAGCGCTGAGCGGCCCAGCCCGTTTTGCCTCCTGCCATCGAGGCCCTGGGATTCCTACCGTATTATACTTGCCCTTGCTCAGCTGTTCCTCACTGGGCCGCAATCTCAGAGGGCAGGGGGCTCCCATACTTGGAAACCAGCCCCTAGAACAATCAGGGCCACGCGCACAGTAGGTGGCCAGCAAGGATTTGTCAATGCCAAACAGTACAATGTGGCAGTGTCTTTGAGAATTGCCCCCCTGCCTACCTAATAACCCAACGATTCCACCCCACGGTGAATGCCCAGCAGACCGAGGTGCAGACGTCCACGAATGTTCAGGGTAGTGTTATTCATGACAGCCCCAGACTAGAAAACCCAAATGGCCGCTGTGCTGGACTCTCTGACGCAACGCTGAGACCCCGCTTGAGGGATGAAGGACTTGTTCCCCCAGGGCCTGCAGTGCTGCCCTCAAGTGGTCAGCTGAGGTTTTTGTCGCAATTGCACCGCAGTGCGGCTCTCCCGCCATCCACCTCTCCCGCCGTCCCGTCCTATTTCACAGGTGTTGATCCCGAGGACGCTCCCTCATAAGCCCCATCAGTAATCCCCGTCTCAGGGGCTGCTCCTGGGGAACCCAACGCCAACGTCCATCCACAGGAGAATGGAAAATAAATTGCACGTAGACATGCTGTGGGATACTCATGACAATAAAAACGTACAAATTACTGTTATCCACAACACGCTTAGACCTCAGCGATGTGACGTGGATGTAAGAGAAGATCCAGACTGCGCTCGCCACAGTTTCCATTTATGTGAAGTTCAAAAACGGGCTAATCGAACGCGCGGTGTCAGAAGTCAAGCTAATGCTCGCCTTCGGGAGTCGATGACTGGGAGGGGGCACAAGGCAGCCAATGCGGTGCTGGAAACGTCCTCCATCTTGCTCAGGTGGTGTGTATACATATGGTGTGTATACGTATGGAAAAATCCACCCAGCAGGACCCTCCAATCGCGCGTCAGTTCCAACTTGATTATATATTGGCTGAATTCCCTTCCAGCCCTAAAATGCTGATTCTGAGCGAGCTGATGAACGATGGAGCATCCACACTCCCCGAGGAAACCAGCGGGCTTGTCTAGCACTGCCACCTGGTGGGGAGAAGTGGAACTGACCGTGGGTCTGCCATCCTGGAGGGAAATGGTCGGGGGCCACAAGGCTCCCACTTACATCCTGGGCAACAGCTCTCCTTCCTGCCCACTTGCTTCCTGCCCATGAGCCCCCTAACAACTCTGGGGGTCCACCAAATCCTCTGGGTCAATAGCTGGACTCCCACCCTGGGCCTTGGGGGCCAGAGGGCTGGAGAGGGAGGCCAGGGTATGCCTGCAAAGCAGCCAGCCCCCAGGTAGGCCTGTGCTGTGACTTCCACCCTGACGCCCCATCCAGATGTTCCTGGGCCCTGATTCTGCTCTGTGCCTCCACTGCCCTGAGTCCCCTGGTTCCTGCCCCACCTGCTCCAGAGCACCCTCCACGGTGGGAACGTGGCGGGAGCCTGCCAGAGAGAGGCACTGGGGGATGGAGCCACTGCTGGGCCGATGGGGCTGCTCAGAAGTAGGGGAAGGGGTGCGGAGAGGCATGCCCTCTCCTGTTTTGGTTCCTTTTCCTTCTTCCTGTGCTCCCCTCATCCCACACATATCTATCAGGGGGTCTGTCCTGGGAAGACTGCGGCACCTGCCTGGGTGTCTGTGGGTGTGTGTTCAACAGAAACTTACTGAGTACCTACTGTGTGCCACGCATTGTCCAACTTCTGGGTAACCAGAGATTGAAGAAAACCCAATCCTTGTGCCCCAGTCAATCAAGTATGGCCTGGTACTTAGTAATTAAGGGCGACAGGAGGGCCAAGCTGAGGGCTGGGAAGACCATGGGGGCAGCAGGGGGTCGTTATGCCCAGGGAACAGGTGAAGGTTTTGTGGAGCGATAGATATTAAAACTGATCCATGGAAGATAATTAGGCTTTCAACAGCGAGAAAGCAAAGAAAGGCATTCATTCCAGGGAGAAGGAACCGCCTATGCAAAGGCATGGAAACGTAATTGTGCACAGTGCTGTCTGGTTGTATCAGTTAAGATTAGGATTGCTTGCATATAACAGAATATCCAAAAGAATAGTGGCTTAAACAAGAGATGTTCATTTCTTTTTCACAGGAAATAAATTGAAAGTAGGCAGTCTAGGCCATTGGGAACTCAGGTTTCTCTATTCTTCTGCTCCATCATTCTAATACTGGTCTCCACACTCAAGGTCACTTTATGAACCAAAAGGGCTGCTGAAGCTCCAGCCAGCACATCAGCATTCCAGACAGCAGGAAGGAGAAAGACCCCAAAGGCATTGCTCTCAGCTAAATCAGCTCACTATTTAAGCCAACTTACTGGAGGGCGTATGTAACACTTTCACTGACATCTCATTGACCAGAATTTGTCATGTGGCCACAAATAGCTGCAAGGGAAGCTGAGAAATGTAGTCTTTATTGGAGGAACAGCTAAAAATTGGGTTCCTAATATTAAGAAAGGAGGAGAGAATGGATATTGGATGGGTAGCTAGCACTGTCTAGCCCAGCAGTAGAGTGGAGCTGTGGTCCTTCAGTGTGTGGGGAGAGGTGACAGCAAGGAGCGAGATCACAAAGGCCATGCTAAGGAGGGTTTGGACTTTATTCTGCAGAGAATGGGGAACTGCTGAAGGATTCTGAGCAGGAGCCGAAGGTGGAGGGGCCTGGAGCAATGTGCTCTGTGGAAAGATCCATCAGGCAGAACAACAGAGGGCTGAGTGCAGGTGAGGACAGCCGGGGGAGGCGAGGGGGGTTGAACAGGGCCCAACAGGAGAGCCAAAGCTAAGCCCCAACGACAGTAGGAGGTGATGCCAGGTAGCAGGGGAGGGACACAGTCCTGCGGAGAGCAAGTCTGGGAGGACTAGAGCGAGCTCAGGATATCGGAGTTCGAGGCAGCTGTAAGTCGAGTTAGATGGCTCAAGGGCACCTGAGTATCTGAACGGACGCTCAGGCCACTGGACGGGCTGGGGATACAGATCCAGAGTCGCGGTCACACAGTGGTGGATGAGATCAGCCCAGGTGTTGAGCTGGAGAAATCTGATGGACCCTTCAGAGTTACCAAGGAAGGAGGTCGATGGAACAGGTAAGTGCACAGACTGTGGAGCCAGACAGAGCTGGGTTCGAATCCTGCCTTCACCACCAAACAGCCATAAACCCCTGGGCCAGCTAATGGCCCTTTCTAAGCCTTGGCGTTCTCATCTGCAAAATGGGCACAGAGAGGCCTACCTGAGGGCTGCTCAGAGGACTGAACAGGGGAACGTTTGGCACAGGGAACTGCGCTCAGAGGTAAACACCAGCTCTTCCCATTAAGGGGGCAGCCTCCCCTTACTGGAGGCGACATCAGCGCCTTTCCTGGGGCGCTGGGTGTGCCCTCTGTCTTCCCGCTGGAGGGCGGGGGCCCCTGGAGCCCCGGTGGGCTCACTGGGGAGTGAATCACGCACTGCGGCCCTCTGACCCAGCACGGCCTGGCAGCCCTGGCTCAGCCAGTCTCCCGGGAGGGGCCTCGGCAGCCCACGCTGGCGGGTGGGGAAGAGCTAGCGTCTGCCAGGAGGCGGCGGGCAGGAGGGTGAGGGCCAGCCCTGGCCCGGCTCCGCAGACATGAGTCTAGGGAGACTCAGCGCTGTTTCAGAAACTAAGGAAGACAGCGATTGCTGGGGCAGGGGAAGAGGGTCTTGCCAGCCATCCAGAGCAGAGCAGTGGCCTACACACGTCCACACGAGCCCAGCCATGTGGCCTGGGAGATGTCCAGCCAGGAGGCAAGGCCCGGCTTGGCGCCTGGGAAGACAATAGCTCTACCTTCGCCCAGAAACCCAGCTCACCCCCTTCGCCTCCAGAAGGCCAGTCTAGCTTCTATCCCCATAAGGATCCCAGGCAGACCTTGGGGGAACCAACATGACAGGGGCAAGCACAGCAATTGGGGCCCTCAAAGGACACTGGCAAGGCACGTCAGAGACCCGGGAGGTGCCAGGAGTGTGGCCTCCCTGAAGCTAAGGATGGGCCGAGAGGGAGGAGAGGGAGGCAGCCTGACCAAGCTCAACCCAGTGCCAGGTGAGATGACAACCAGGAAGAGGCCACTGGGGTGTCCAGGGGGAGGTCAGTGGTCTGCGAGACAGC